CGGGGGTCCCCTTTTCTTTTTTTCTGGGGGCGACGATGGAGACTGAGGAGGATGGATAATAGAAAACCCCAGGGTGAAAGGCGGGGGGGGGGGGAAGGGGGGGGGGGGGCAGATTAAGCAAGAGCAGTGAGAGCGAGAAGTTAGAAGAAGGATAAAGTACGAGAGGCAAAGAGAACATGGATTTGAGGGATTGAAGAGGTGATCATGAGAAGTAAGGAGAGAGATATACGGAGTGAGAGAGAGAGAGAGAAGATGAGAGAGAGAGAGATAGAGAGAGAGAGCAGAGAGATAGAAGCAGAGAGGATGCATCTGACCAATTAGAGTATACTATAGCGGAGATAGTGTAGATGAGGAGAGAGAGAGATAGACAGACAGAACTTAACCCAGAAATAGCACATAGTCATTCTATTTGCCTGAGAGAGTACGTGGCAGATACTGACTGTGTACTGCCCAATGGAAGCTTGCTATGTACAGCTCAGTGACTAGCTTCTATTGGAAAGGGCCGTAGGCAGACTGGTCTCGATGAGAAGGCTAGTGCAACTCCATCAATGGGTGGAACGAGCTCACTTCAACCTCCGCAATGATGACCATATTAGAGACACAATGCCTCAGATTACAGCGAGGAGAGAGAGGGCGAAGAGTTGTAGAGTGTTGGAGGTGGCGGGAAGTAGTAGGTCTGGTAGTGGAGAGTGGGACGTGACGAGGATAGGTCTGTGTGTGGGTGGGCGGGCAGTATAGCTGGTGAGGGGGGTGGAGCGATCAGTCGAGTCTGTTGTGGGGTGGGCGGGGTCAGCGATAGGTCTGTGATGTGCGGTGGGCGGGATGTTCAGCCGATAGTCTGTGTGTGGTTAGTGGGAGGGGGTCAGTGATAGGTCTGTGTGTGGGGTGGGCGGGGTCAGCGATAGGTCTGTGTGTGGGGTGGGCGGGGTCAGTGATAGGTCTGTGTGTGGGGTGGGCGGGCCGGGGTCAGCGATAGGTCTGTGTGTGGGGTGGGCGGGGTCAGCGATAGGTCTGTGTGTGGAGTGGGCGGGGTCAGCGATAGGTCTGTGTGTGGGGTGGGCGGGGTCAGGGGTCATGTACCTCTTGGCGATGTCAGCTCCGTTCCAGCAGGCCAGTCCGTCAGCGGAGGCCAGCTGGCTCACACACAGCTGGTCCGCCAGGCCACCATAGAAGGTACGGTACAAACGCAGACTGTTCAGGAACTCTCTGTTGAGACAACACAACACACACACAGGTGATCTACATTGGTGCACTTGCACACCTCAGTCCTCTCAGGAGCCTCATACGGCTAAGATGGTCATCTAGAGACCTCAACCTTTGAGTATTGGCTAACAGTGCTGCAGAAGTGCTGACTAAGCACGAGGAATGTAAAGTTAGCGGTTAGCATGGCGAACGGAGACAGCACACTCACGTTCTCCTGGTGGCCAGGGTGTTTCCTGTTTCTCTGATGGACGCTTTGAGAGGGATGGACTCTCTAGCGCCGTCCTGCTGGCCACTGACTGACTGGGCAGGCTGTCTGCTGGGGTAACCACATACTTTATGCACCTGGAGCACAACAACCACGGAGAGAGAGAACAATCAGCTGACGTACAGTGTCCTAGTGTTAAGAGAGCTCACAAGAGGGCGCAGTGGCGTGATGTCTCCACTAGATGGCGCCATAGGACTCTGGGATCTAAAGTCATTCACTATAGGGGTGTGTGGATCATCACCTAGATTCAGCCGCGGGACGATTTTGTCTTGAGCTGATGATGGTCGGGAGCCGGAACATAATTATAAATCATTTGTAGACTACAAGAAGCCCGAACAGATATAATATTTGACTAAAACATAATCATTTAAACATTACATGGTGGTAACACGTGGTCCCTCTGTAGCTCAATTGGTAGAGCATGGCGCTTGTAACGCCAGGGTAGTGGGTTCGATCCCCGGGACCACCCATACGTAAAAATGTTATGCACACATGACTGTAAGTCGCTTTGGATAAAAGCGTCTGCTAAATGGCATATTATTATTATTATTATTAAGAACACCTTCCTATATTGAGTTGCACCCCCCTACCTCCCTTTCGCCCTCAGAACAGCCTCAATTCGTCGGGGCATGAATTCTACAAGGTGTGAAAAGCGTTCAACAGGGATGCTGGCACCATGTTGAAACTGTTGAGCGTGAAAAACCCAGCAGCGTTGCAGTTCTTGACACAAACCGGTGCGCCTGGCACCAACACCAAGTCCCGTTCAAAAGGCACTTAAATCTTTTGTCTTGCCCATTCGCCCTCTGAATGGCACACTTAACGCAATCCATGTCTCAGCTGTCTCAAGGCTTAAAAACCCTTCTTTAACCCCGTCTCCTATCAAGTAACGTCCGTCTCTCTGGTCTGTCTCTGGTTAAGGGATCATAGCTTTCACCTGGATTCGCCTGGTCAGTCTATGTCATGGAAAGAGCAGGCGTCCTTAATGTTTTGTACACCATTTAATTAAATACTATATATAATATAGCGTTCAATGATATATTATATACCATTTAATAATATGCTATATATAATATACCATTTAATAATATGCTATATATAATATACCATTTCATAATATTGTATATATCCATTTAATAATATAGTCAGTGTATCTCTCTATGATGAGTGGGGAAAATCACTTGAAGCTGATTTGTTGGTGTTTTTAACAGTATTTTATATACAAATAAAAACCTATATTTTACCCTGAAACCCTGGGGGGCCAGTTGAACCCTGATGTTGGGAATAGGATCTGATATGTCCTGATGAGCTAACGTCCTCTCTCTGGTCTGTCTCTGGTCTGTCTCTGGGACAACCTCTTCTGATGAGCTAACGTCCTCTCTCTGGTCTGTCTCTGGTTAGCATTCTGGGACAACCTCTTCTGATGAGCTAACGGCCTCTCTCTGGTCTGTCTTTTTCTGGACAACCTCTTCTGATGAGCTAACGGCCTCTCCTGGTCTGGCTCTGGTCTGTCTCTGGACAACCTCTTCTGATGAGCTAACGGCCTCTCTCTGGTCTGTCTCTGGTTAGCATTCTGGACAACCTCTTCTGATGAGCTAACGGCCTCTCTCTGGTCTGTCTCTGGTTAGCATTCTGGACAACCTCTTCTGATGAGCTAACGTCCTCTCTCTGGTCTGTCTCTGGTTAGCATTCTGGACAACCTCTTCTGATGAGCTAACGGCCTCTCTCTGGTCTGGCTCTGGTTAGCATTCTGGACAACCTCTTCTGATGAGCTAACGGCCTCTCTCTGGTCTGTCTCTGGTTAGCATTCTGGACAACCTCTTCTGATGAGCTAACGGCCTCTCTCTGGTCTGTCTCTGGTTAGCATTCTGGACAACCTCTTCTGATGAGCTAACGGCCTCTCTCTGGTCTGTCTCTGGTTAGCATTCTGGACAACCTCTTCTGATGAGCTAACGGCCTCTCTCTGGTCTGTCTCTGGTTAGCATTCTGGACAACCTCTTCTGATGAGCTAACGGCCTTCTCTGGTCTGTCTCTGGGAAACTCTTTGATGCTAAGGCCTCTCTCTGTCTGCTCTGGTTAGCATTCTGGACAACCTCTCTGATGAGCTAACGGCCTCTCTCTGGTCTTGTCTCTGGTTAGCATTCTGGACAACCTCTTCTGATGAGCTAACGGCCTCTTCTCTGGTCTGTCTCTGGTTAGCATTCTGGACAACCTCTTCTGATGAGCTAACTGCCTCTCTCTGGTCTGTCTCTGGTTAGCATTCTGGACAACCTCTTCTGATGAGCTAACGGCCCTCTCTCTGGTCTGTCTGGTGCTGTCTCTGGACAACCTCTTCTGATGAGCTAACGGCCTCTCTCTGGTCTGTCTCTGGTTAGCATTCTGGACAACCTCTTCTGATGAGCTAACGGCCTCTCTCTGGTCTGTCTCTGGTCTGTCTCTGGGACAACCTCTTCTGATGAGCTAACGGCCTCTCTCTGGTCTGTCTCTGGTTAGCATTCTGGACAACCTCTTCTGATGAGCTAACGGCCTCTCTCTGGTCTGTCTCTGGTTAGCATTCTGGACAACCTCTTCTGATGAGCTAACGGCCTCTCTCTGGTCTGTCTCTGGTTAGCATTCTGGACAACCTCTTCTGATGAGCTAACGCCCTCGCTCTGGTCTGTCTCTGGGACAAACTCTTCTGATGAGCTAACGGCCTCTCTCTGGTCTGGCTCTGGTTAGGCATTCTGGACAACCTCTTCTGATGAGCTAACGGCTCTCTCTGGTCTGTCTCTGGTTAGCATTCTGGACACCTCTTCTGATGAGCTAACGGCCTCTCTCTGGTCTGGCTCTGGTTAGCATTCGGGACACCTCTTCTGATGAGCTAACGGCCTCTCTCTGGTCTGTCTCTGGTTGCATTCTGGACAAACCTCTTCTGATGAGCTAACGCCTCTCTCTGGTCTGTCTCTGGTCTGTCTCTGGGAACAACCTCTTCTGATACTAAGGCTAACGGCCGTGTACTCTGGTCTGTCTCTGGTTAGGCATTCTGGACAACCTCTTCTGATGAAGCTAACGTCCTTCTCTCTGGGGTCTGTCTCTGGGACAAACCGCTCCTGATGAGCTAACGCCTCTCTCTTGGTCTGGTCTCTGGTTAAGCATGCTGGGACAACACTCTTCTGATGAGCTAACGGTCCTCGCTCTGGTCTGTTCTTTTGGTCTGTCGCTCTTGGGACCAACCTCCTTCTGATGAGTTCTTAACGTCCTCCTCCCTGGTCTGTCTCTGGGGTTCTGGTCTCCTGTCTTTCTCTGGTCTGTCTCTGGTGTCCTGGTCTTCGCTGGGTTTGTCTCTGGTTAGCATTCTGGACAACCTCTTCTGATGAGCTAACATCCTCTCTCTGGTCTGTCTCTGGTTGCATTCTGGACAACCTCTTCTGATGAGCTAACGTCCTCTCTCTGGTCTGTCTCTGGTTAGGCATTCTGGACAACCCTTCTGATGAGCTAACGCGGCCTCTCTCTGGTCTGGGCTCTGGTTAGCATTCGGACAACCTCTTCTGATGAGCTAACGGCCTCTCTCTGGTCTGTCTCTGGTTAGCATTCTGGACAACCTCTTCTGATGAGCTAACGGCCTCTCTCTGGTCTGTCTCTGGTTAGCATTCTGGACAACCTCTTCTGATGAGCTAACGGCCTCTCTCTGGTCTGTCTCTGGTCTGTCTCTGGTCTGTCTCTGGTCTGTCTCTGGTCTGTCTCTGGTCTGTCTCTGGTTAGCATTCTGGACAACCTCTTCTGGCCACATACACACACCAACCCCTCTGCTGGCTCTCGCTGCCCACAATGGTGTATTCTGGGAATGTTCTGGGCACGCTGTTGTTGTGTGGTATGTACCATGTGGGTGTGTGTGTGTGTGTGTGTGTGTGTGGGTGTGTGTGTGTGTGTGTGTGTAGTACATTCCTGGGTGACAGACTGGTAGCAGCTGGAATGGAGAGGTTGGTTCGGTCTTTAAACCTCTGTTCAGTATTGGAACTTTCTGTTTGTCTCTCTGAGAAAATGGTGTTTCTTGCTCCTTCATCAGTTTCTAAAGGACTGGTTTGTTTCATAAGGATGTCATTCACTTAGTCTGGTGCACATTTCTAAAATGCACTCTGAACATTATCCTGACAGTGACAATCCAACGGGGGACGTCAACAACACCTCACCTGTGCAGCGAGGTGCGGCCCGTTCATCTGAGCATGTGCGACGGCGTCATGGACGAGGGTGTGAACTCCCAGCAGCACTTGCTCCAGGTCCTGAGTTCTGTGCATGCGGTCCGACAGCCCCTCTAACGACCTCACAAATTCTCTCCAATGGGGGTCCACCTCAAATCAAAATCAAAACTTTATTTAGAACCCCCTTTTTTTTTTATCGCAACTTTACAGTAAAAACGATCAAAGTAAACAATAAGCAATAATAAAAAGGGATGAATAAAATCACATGCAAGCAGAAGAAGGTTATGATGGGTTACCTCGGCCGTGCTAGCCAGACAGCCACGCAACACGTTGAGACAGTAGCCCATACAGGGTTTAGACAGGGTGAGACCGTGGCAGTGGGGACAGTACCGCATCCTGAGCAGAGCTCTACCACACTCCCTGCTCAACACCAGGTGATCCGTGGTGTTGATCACCTCCACGCCGAGGTGCAGCGCCTGTAACAAGACACGACCCCCGACGACCCCCGACCTCCCGATCTGATTGGCTAGGACTCGCGGAGCGGCGCCGAACGGGGTCAAATCACGGCGGGCGGAGCGGATGCACTCGGCGTAACCGGGGGTGATGTGGCTGAGGCTGGGGTTGATGAGGTGGTTGTAAACCAACGGGAAGAGAGCGTCGAAGAAGCGGCTGGTGATGTAATCAACGTTGAGTTCGGAGCCAAGGAGGAAGAGGCCGACGTCAGTGAACAACTCTCTCACCAGACCTGACGCCTCCCCGGCCATGTTACGATACGAATAACCTGCCAGGGAGGTATAGACTTTACTACTAAGGACCAGTTGGTGGGTTTCTCGATGCCTTCATCAGAGACTCAAAGGTTTCTACAGAGAGAGATGGGCAGATCGGTGGAGGGAGGAGAGAGAGAGAGAGAGAGAGGAGAAGAGCAGGAGGAGGATGGGAGGTGAGAGTTAATCAGAGGCCAGAGTTTTTTGTGCTAACTAGACTAGGCTTCTCAAGACCCCAAAGTTCTACAGACCCCGAACTATCTTAAACCAGAGGTGAAACTAATTCAGAGAAAAGGTTAGAAGTCAGTTAAGATCGGCAGGTACTTATGATGAATCCGTTGTGTTAAAAACTAAATTCTGACCTACAACAGAGTTTCCCCCTATTGTACACATTCTCTCTTCTGAAACGTTCTTTAAACATCTATATGTCAGCCCCATCTAATAGGCATGTTCCTCCATTAGACAAACGTCAAATTCAGAGTCCCTCCCTCCAATATTTAATTGCAGAGTTCCGTTCTGCCTGCACAAACTAACCCTAACCCAGTCCCCTGCCCCCCAACTAACCCTAGAGAGGTCCTCTGACCCAAACTACAAACCTAACCCAGAGTCCCTCTCACCCAAACTAACCCTAACCCAGTCCCCTCCCCCCAACTAACCCTAACCCAGAGTAACCCTCCCCCCAAACTAACCCTAACCCAGAGGCCCTCCCCCAAACTAACCCTAACCCAGAGTCCTCTCCCCCCAAACTACCCTAACCCAGAGTCCCCTCCCCCAAACTAACCCTTACCCGAGTCCCTCCCCCAAACTACCCTAACCCAGATCCCCCCCCCCAAACTAACCTAACCCAGAGTCCTCTCCCCCCAACTAACCCTAACCCAGAGTCCCTCCCCCCTCACCAAACTAACCCTAACCCATGGTCCCCCTCCCCCCAAACTAACCCTAACCCAGATCCCTCCCCCCAACTAACCCTAACCCAGACTCCCCTCCCCCTCCCAAACTAACCCTAACCCAGAGTCCCCCTCCCCCCAGAACTAACCCTAACACAGAGTCACCTCCCCCCCAAACTAAACCACTAACCCAGCGTCCATCTCACCCAAACAAACCTAACCCAGAGTCCCCCTCCCCTCCCCCGAACAAACCAACCATAACCCAGAGTCCCCTTCCCCCCCCAAACTAACCTTAACCCGAAGTCACCGCCCCCCCCCAAAATTAACCAGTAACCCAGAAACCAGATCCCCTCACCCCCAAACTAACCCTAACCCCAGAGTCCCCCTCCCCCCAAACTAATAAACCCTAACCCAGAGGGTCCTCTCCTCACCAAACTAAACCCTAACCCAGAGTCCCCCTCCCCTCCCCCCAAACGCTAACAATAACCCAGAGTCCCCCTCCGCCCAAACGAAACCATAACACAGAGTCACCTCCCCCCATCCCCAAAACTAACACCTAACAACCCAGAAGTCACCCCCCCCAAACTAACCCTAACCACAGAGTCCCCCTCGCCCCCAAAACTAACCCATAACCCAGAGTCCCCTCCCACCAAACGAACCCTAACCCCAGAGCCCCCCCGCACCAAACTAACCCTAACCCAGAGTCCTCTCACCCAACTAACCCTAACCCAGAGTCCCCTCCCCCCCCCAAACTAACCTAACCACAGAGTCCCCTCCCCCCAAACTAACCCTAACCCAGACTCCCCTCCCCCCCCAAACTAACCCTAACCCAGAGTCCCCTCCCCCCCAAACTAACCCTAACCCAGAGTCCCCTCCCCAAACTAACCCTAACCCAGAGTCCTCTCCCCCCAAACTAACCCTAACCCAGAGTCCCCCCCCCCCAAACTAACCCTAACCCAGAGTCCCTCTCCCCCCCAAACTAACCCTAACCCAGAGTCCTCCCACCCAAACTAAACCTAACCCCCCCCCCCCAAGTCTCCCTCCCCCCAAACTAACCCTAACCCGAGTCCCCTCCCCCCCCAAACTAACCTAACCCAGAGTCCCCCTCCCCCCCAAACTAACCCAACCCAGAGTCCCCCTCCCCCCCAAACTAACCCTAACCCCAGAGTCCCCTCCCCCCCAAACTAACCCTAACCCAGAGTCCCTCACCCCCAAACTAACCCTAACCCAGAGTCCCCCTCCCCCCCCCAACCCATAACCCAAGTCCCCTCCCCCCAAACTAACCCTAACCCGAGTCCCCCCCCCCCCAAACTAACCCTAACCCAATCCCCTCCCGCCAAACTAACCCTAACCCAGATCCCCCTCCCCCCCAAACTAACCCTAACCCAGAGTCCCCTCCCCCCAACTAACCCTCCTACCCAGACTCCGCCCCCCCCAAACTACCCTACCCAGTCCCTCTCACCCAACTAACCCTAACCCAGAGTCCCTCCCCTCCCCCCAAACTAACCCTCTACACCAGAGTCCCCTCCCCCCAACTAACCCTACCCAGATTCCCCTCCCCCCAACTAACCCTAACCCAGAGTCCCCTCCCCCTCCAAACTAACCCTAACCCAGAGTCCCCTCCCCCCAAACTAACCCTAACCCAGAGTCCCCTCCCCCCAAACAACCTAACCCAGAGCCCCTCCCCCCCCAAACTAACCCTAACCCAGAGTCCCTCTCCCCAAACTAACCCTAACCCAGAGTCCCCTCCCCCCCCAAACTAACCCTAACCCAGAGTCCCCCCTCCCCCCAAACTAACCCTAACCCAGATCCCCTCCCCCTCCCAAACTAACCCTAACCCAGAGTCCCTCCCCCCAAACTAACCCTAACCCAGAGTCCCCTCCCCCCAAACTAACCCTAACCCAGACTCCCCTCCCCCCAAACTAACCCTAACCCAACTCCCCTCCCCCCAAACTACCCTAACCCAAGTCCCCTCCCCCCAAACTAACCCTAACCCAGAGTCCCTCCTCCCCCAAACTAAACCTAACCCAGAGTCCCCCCCCTCCCCCCAAACTAACCCTAACCCAGAGTCCCCTCCCCCCAAACTAACCCTTAACCCAGAGTCCCCTCCCCCCCAAACTAACCTAACCAGTCCCCTCCCCCAAACTACCCTAACCCAGAGCCCCCCTCCCCCCCAAACTAACCCTAACCCAGAGTCCTCTCTCCCCCAAACTAACCCTAACCCAGAGTCCCCTCCCCCAAACTAACCCAACCCCGCCTCCCCAAACTAACCTAACCCAGCCCCTCCCCCCCCCCAAACTAACCATAACCCAGAGTCCCCTCCTCCCCCCAAACTAACCTAACCCAGAGTCCCCTCCCCCTCCCAAACTAACCCTAACCCAACCCGTTCCCCTCCCCCCCAAACTAACCCTAACCCAGAGCCCTCCCCTCCCCCCAAACTAACCCTAACCCAGTCCCCTCCCCCCACCAACTAACCCTAACCCAGAGCCCCCCCCCACCCCACCTACCCTAACCCCAGTCCTCTCCCACCCAAACTAACCCTAACCCAGAGTCCCTCCCCTCCCCCCAAACTAACCCTACCCAGATTCCCCTCCCCCCCAAACTAACCCAAACCCAGAGTCCCCTCTCCCCCTCCAAACTAACCCTAACCCCAGAGTCCCCTCCCCCCAACTAACCCTAACCCATCCCCCTCCCCCCACCCGACTACCCTAACCCAGAGTCCCCTCCCCCCACTAACCCTAACCCCGTTCCCCCCCCCCAAACTAACCCTAACCCAGAGTCCCCTCCCCCCAAACTAACCCTAACCCAGAGTCCCCTCCCCCCCAAACTAACCCTAACCCAGAGTCCCCTCCCCCTCCCAAACTAACCCTAACCCAGAGTCCCCTCCCCCTCCCAAACTAACCCTAACCCAGAGTCCCCTCCCCCCAAACTAACCCTAACCCAGAGTCCCCTCCCCCAAACTAACCCTAACCCAGAGTCCCCTCCCCCCAAACTAACCCTAACCCAGATCCCCTCCTCCCCTCCCCCCCAAACTAACCCTAACCCAGAGTCCCCTCCCCCCAAACTAACCCTAACCCAGTCCCCTCCCCCAAAACTAACCCTAACCCAAGTCCCCTCCCCCTCCCAAACTAACCCTAACCCAGAGTCCCCTCCCCCCCAAACTAACCCTACACCCAGAGTCCCCTCCCCCCAAACTACCTAACCCAGAGTCCCCTCCCCCCAAACTAACCCTAACCCAGATCCTCTCACCCAAACAACCTAACCCAGAGTCCCCTCCCTCCCCCCAAACTAACCCTAACCCAAGTCCCCTCCCCCCAAACTAACCCTAACCCAGAGTCCCCCCCCTCCCAAACATAACCCTAACCCAGATCCCCTCCCTCCCCCCAAACTAACCCTAACCCAGAGTCCCCTCCCCCCAACTACCCTAACCCAGACTCCCCTCCCCCAAACTAACCCTAACCCAGATCTCCCCTCCCCCCAAACTAACCCTAACCCAGAGTCCCCCTCCCCCCAAACTAACCCTAACCCGAGTCCCTCCCCCCAACTAACCCTAACCCAATCCCCTCCCCCCAAACTAACCCTAACCCATACTCCCCTCCCCCCAAACTAACCCTAACCCAAGTCCCCTCCCCCACACAACCTAACCCAGACTCCCCTCCCCCAAACTAACCCTAACCCCGACTCCCCTCCCCCCAAACTAACCCTAACCCAGAGTCCCCTCCCCCCAAACTAACCCTAACCCAGACTCCCCTCCCCCCAAACTAACTACCCTAACCCGACTCTCCCCTCAAACAACCCTAACCAATCCCCTCCCCCCAACAACCGCTACCCAACTCCCCTCCCCTCCCCCCAAACTAACCCTAACCCAGACTCCCCCCCCCAACTACCTAACCCAACTACCCCTCCCCCCAACTAACCCTAACCCAGAGCCCCCTCCCCCCAAACTAACCCTAACCCAGAGTCCCTCCCCAACTAAACTAACCCTAACCCAGAGTCCCCCCAACCAACTAACCCTAACCCAGATCCCCTCCCCCCAAACTAACCCTAACCCAGACGTCCCCTCCCCCAACTACCCCCCAGATCCCCCCCCCAACCTAACCCACCCATAGTCCCCTCCCCCCCAAACTAACCCTAACCCAGAGTCCCCTCCCCCCAAACTAACCCTAACCCAGACTCCCCTCCCCCCAAACTAACCCTAACCCAGAGTCCCCTCCCCCCAAACTAACCCTAACCCAGACTCCCCTCCTCCCAAACTAACCCTAACCCAGAGTCCCCTCCCCTCCATAACACATAATACTTTAGAAATGCTGAATTTAGATGACTATGAATCCCTTCTCTCTCTCTCTCCCTCCCTCCGCATGGCTTCCTCTCCTCTCGTTCTTCTGAAACCGTACCTCTTCAAATATTATCTTAAATAAATCCCACAGCCCCCCCCCCTCTTACTAGCTCTGCCTTTGATGATAGCTGTGTGAGTTTGAGTTGATGTATTCTTGCTCACAGATAAAACTGAAGAAATGCTGAATTTAGATGACTATGAATAGCAAAACACTCATTTTAAAACCCACAACACATAAATACGTGACAGAATAGAACACAGCACACTTGAAACATTACAGGACATTTTTCATGATGGAAATAGAAATGTTAAAGTGTGATTGTAAAAAATTTTTTTTTTTTGGGAAAACCATTTAAGAGTTATTATTCAGTCTGACAGCAGTGGGAATAGTGGCGTTCCGCAAGCGGTTCATACGGGAAAGAACAGTCAAAAAGTGCAGGCGTTTTGAGGCCTTCGTCACCGACTGCTCCACGTGTCACCACTGAGGTTAGAGTCTAGATGAGATACTTGGTTGTGGTTTCCACTGGTACTTCCTGTCCTCCTGCTCCACGTGTCACCACTGAGGTTAGAGTCTAGATGAGATACTTGGTTGTGGTTTCCACTGGTACTTCCTGTCCTCCTGCTCCACGTGTCACCACTGAGGTTAGAGTCTAGATGAGATACTTGGTTGTGGTTTCCACTGGTACTTCCTGTCCTCCTGCTCCACGTGTCACCACTGAGGTTAGAGTCTAGATGAGATACCTGGTTGTGGTTTCCACTGGTACTTCCTGTCCTCCTGCTCCACGTGTCACCACTGAGGTTAGAGTCTAGATGAGATACTTGGGTTGTGGTTTCCACTGGTACTTCCTGTCCTCCTGCTCCACGTGTCACCACTGAGGTTAGAGTCTAGATGAGATACCTGGTTGTGGTTTCCACTGGTACTTCCGGTTCAGGTTTGAGGAGGGTCTCTAGAAAAACATATCCCAATTTCCACAGACTTTTTCCCCCATTCAGGAGCATGTTGTTGGACGTGGCCCACTCTTCCAGCTGCTCTGTCTCCAAGCCCATGGAAGTGTCCTGTTGGATGCTGGTTAACGGTACGGTCTGCCTCCAAGCCCATGGAAGTGTCCTGTTGGATGCTGGTTAACGGTACGGTCTGCCTCCAAGCCCATGGAAGTGTCCTGTTGGATGCTGGTTAACGGTACGGTCCTGCCTCCAAGCCCATGGAAGTGTCCTGTTGGATGCTGGTTAACGGTACGGTCTGCCTCCAAGCCCATGGAAGTGTCCTGTTGGATGCTGGTTAACGGTAACGGTCTGCCTCCAAGCCCATGGAAGTGTCCTGTTGGATGCTGGTTAACGGTACGGTCTGCCTCCAAGCCCATGGAAGTGTCCTGTTGGATGCTGGTTAACGGTACGGTCTGCCTCCAAGCCCATGGAAGTGTCCTGTTGGATGCTGGTTAACGGTACGGTCTGCCTCCAAGCCCATGGGAAGTGTCCTGTTGGATGCTGGTTAACGGTACGGTCTGCCTCCAAGCCCATGGAAGTGTCCTGTTGGATGCTGGTTAACGGTACGGTCTGCCTCCAAGCCCATGGAAGTGTCCTGTTGGATGCTGGTTACGGTACGGTCTGCCTCCAAGCCCATGGAAGTGTCCTGTTGGATGCTGTTAACGGTACGGTCTGCCTCCAAGCCCATGGAAGTGTCCTGTTGGATGCTGGTTAACGGTACGGTCTGCCTCCAAGCCCATGGAAGTGTCCTGTTGGATGCTGGTTAACGGTACGGTCTGCCTCCAAGCCCATGGAAGTGTCCTGTTGGATGCTGGTTAACGGTACGGTCTGCCTCCAAGCCCATGGAAGTGTCCTGTTGGATGCTGGTTAACGGTACGGTCTGCCTCCAAGCCCATGGAAGTGTCCTGTTGGATGCTGGTTAACGGTACGGTCTGCCTCCAAGCCCATGGAAGTGTCCTGTTGGATGCTGGTTAACGGTACGGTCTGCCTCCAAGCCCATGGAAGTGTCCTGTTGGATGCTGGTTAACGGTACGGCTCGGGTCAGCCCTACATCGTCTGCATACCCAGTGTCCAGAGTGTCACACTGAAGACAACTTTTCGTGTGGACATGAGAAGGAGAAACACATATGGCGAAACCATGCCCTCCTTGTGGCACACGCCCCCTTGTGTGTGTGTGTGTGTGTGTGTCCTGGACGTGTTTAGAGGGGGCGTGGCACCGTGACATGACCAATAAAAAGACAGCAGACATGTTGTTGTGTCTGGCAGCAGGAAAACATGGGCTGCGTCTCATACGACAGCCTAGGTCAGGACCCAGAGGGCTCTGGTCTAAAGTAGTGCACTATATAGGGAATAGGGTGTCATAGGGCTCTGGTCTAAAGTAGTGCACTATATAGGGAATAGGGTGTCATAGGGCTCTGGTCTAAAGTAGTGCACTATATAGGGAATAGGGTGTCATAGGGCTCTGGTCTAAAGTAGTGCACTATATAGGGAATAGGGTGTCATAGGGCTCTGGTCTAAAGTAGTGTACTATATAGGGAATAGGGTGCCATAGGGCTCTGTTCTAAAGTAGTGTACTATATAGGGAATAGGGTGTCATAGGGCTCTGGTCTAAAGTAGTGCACTATATAGGGAATAGGGTGCCATAGGGCTCTGGTCTAAAGTAGTGCACTATATAGGGAATAGGGTGTCATAGGGCTCTGGTCTAAAGTAGTGCACTATATAGGGAATAGGGTGCCATAGGGCTCTGGTCTAAAGTAGTGCACTATATAGGGAATAGGGTGCCATAGGGCTCTGGTCTAAAGTAGTGCACTATATAGGGAATAGGGTGTCATAGGGCTCTGGTCTAAAGTAGTGCACTATATAGGGAATAGGGTGTCATAGGGCTCTGGTCTAAAGTAGTGCACTATATAGGGAATAGGGTGTCATAGGGCTCTGGTCTAAAGTAGTGCACTATATAGGGAATAGGGTGTCATAGGGCTCTGGTCTAAAGTAGTGCACTATATAGGGAATAGGGTGTCATAGAGCTCTGGTCTAAAGTAGTGCACTATATAGGGAATATGACACATTACTACATTATATTACTGCTCAGAGTTTTTCCAGATTAAAAACACTTTACAACCATCCACAGTTCAGACCAATGCAATTTCACTATGACACTATTATAATAATCAAGGATCCATTCTCACATGACACCCATTATAATAATCAAGGATCCATTCTCACATGACACCCATTATAATAATCAAGGATCCATTCTCACATGACAGCCATCAATCCACCGATCCGTCAACTCCATGTTGTCCTCTGCAGGGTTAAATCATGGCCTATATCAAACGATCATTGTCTGAATGAAGCCAGGGTGGTTAGCCTAGCATACAGTCACTATGGCCGTTAGCCCGACACATGGTTCATCATACAATAATACAACAACCAGAAACTAGCCAATTCCATCTAATTCCATTTCACAGCGTTTAAAACCTTTTCAATCTCCCATCTCTTAACTGTTGCATTTCTCATTTTCAATAATGCAAATAACAGTGACATCGGGATATTTAATTCAGCGATGAGGAATGTTCTGGAGCCTTCATAGCTAGGGCTGACTACTTGAGGAATGTTCTGGAGCCTTCAGAGCTAGGGCTGACTACTTGAGGAATGTTCTGGAGCCTTCAGAGCTAGGGCTGACTACTTGAGGAATGTTCTGGAGCCTTCAGAGCTAGGGCTGACTACTTGAGGAATGTTCTGGAGCCTTCAGAGCTAGGACTGACTACTTGAGGAATGTTCTGGAACCTACGGAGCTAGGGCTGACTACTTGAGGAATGTTCTGGAACCTACGGAGCTAGGGCTGACTACTTGAGGAATGTTCTGGAACCTACGGAGCTAGGGCTGACTACTTGAGGAATGTTCTGGAGCCTTCAGAGCTAGGGCTGACTACTTGAGGAATGTTCTGGAGCCTTCAGAGCTAGGGCTGACTACTTGAGGAATGTTCTGGAGCCTTCAGAGCTAGGGCTGACTACTTGAGGAATGTTCTGGAACCTTCAGAGCTAGGACTGACTACTTGAGGAATGTTCTGGAGCCTTCAGAGCTAGGGCTGACTACTTGAGGAATGTTCTGGGAGGCTGGAGCCCCCAATGCTTGGCTGGGCTGGAGTTAAGGACTGTCTAGATCTGGACCGGGCTGGGAGACATGGTCAGGCTGGGGCCCCCCAATGCATGGCTGGAGTTAGGATTCTCTGGGGTTTGGACCACACCAGTCAGACAGCCATGTTAGGATTGTCTGGGGTTTGGACCAGACCTCTAAGGCGATTACTGTCAACTGATCCAGAATGAGATCCACATCATCAAAGAGAAGAGACGGGTCATAGCACACGTGAGTTTTTCCTAGCCACCGTGCTTCTACATCTGTATTGCTTGCTGTTTTGGGGTTTTAGGCTGGGTTTCTGTATAGCACTTTGTGACACCTGCTGATGTAAAAAGGGCTTTATAAATCAAATTTGATTGATTGATTGATTGAAATGTAACCAGAACCATGCATAACGCACATCCACTAATAATGACCAACTTCCTGTAGCAGCCATTATAGAACATCAACACCGTCTCATAAACAATCTCCCAAGCACAAGCCCACGGGCTAGTGAGTAGCCAGCTAAACTTTATATTTCAAGTCTAGCCAACTTGGATCTATTCGCTTGCTAACATCAGAACAGTGGAACGTTGAACTGTTATGAACACACCTTCCTGTCTGAACAACATAGCACTGTTATGAACACACCTTCCTGTCTGAACAACATAGCACTGTTATGAACACACCTTCCTGTCTGTCTCCACCTGTCTGAACAACATAACACTGTTATGAACACACCTTCCTGTCTGAACAACATAGCACTGTTATGAACACACCTTCCTGTCTGAACAACATAGCCTGTTCACTTTGTTTAGATATTGAAATCAAGTGAAGGAGGAGGGGCTTGGTGTCACAGCACAGAAGGGGGAGGGGCTTGGTGTCACAGCACAGAAGGAGGAGGGGCTTGGTGTCACAGCACAGAAGGGGGAGGGGCTTGGTGTCACAGCACAGAAGGGGGAGGGGCTTGGTGTCACAGAACAGAAGGAGGAGGGGCTTGGTGTCACAGCACATAAGGGGGAGGGGCTTGGTGTCACAGCACATAAGGGGGAGGGGCTTGGTGTCACAGAACAGAAGGAGGAGGGGCTTGGTGTCACAGCACAGAAGGGGGAGGGGCTTGGTGTCACAGAACAGAAGGAGGAGGGGCTTGGTGTCACAGCATAGAGGGGGGAGGGGCTTGGTGTCACAGCACAGAAGGAGGAGGGGCTTGGTGTCACAGAACAGAAGGAGGAGGGGCTTGGTGTCACAGCATAGAAGGAGGAGGGGCTTGGTGTCACAGCATAGAAGGAGGAGGGGCTTGGTGTCACAGCATATTTAATATAGGTTATCTCAATAAACAACAGAATGAAGCTGGTGGTGTATTTAAAATAGGTTATCTCAATAAACAACAGAAAAGGTTTGGGAGCACCTGCTTTACACGGTTCCTTCATCTCCCTCCCTCCATCGCTCTCTCCTTCTCCTGATTGGCCCCCGACCACAAGACAACAGCCAGAAAACGTGATAGGCCCAGTGACGCTATTCTTGAAGCCCCGCCCAATCACAGTGAGTCACCCTGTGGCTTCAAACCACCCCCCATGGATCAAAACCCCTTTATGATCTTTACAACACACAAAAAAAGGAACACAACGATTCAATGGAGTTGGTGACGTAACACACAGACTGACTAGGGGAGGGGCTCGTTTTTTTGGGGGGGGGAGCTCGTTTGTTTCAATAGATGGAATAGTCTGACTTTGCAGAGCTACGGCTTTATTGCATCATCATCATCATCATCATCATCATCCTCTAACGTTTACGTCTCTCAGTCTCAACCAGGTCCAGGCAAACAACTAGATAAGGAGAACCTTGTTATAATAATAATAATAATAATAATAATATGCCATTTAGCAGACGCTTTTATCCAAAGCGACTTACAGTCATGCGTGCATACATTTTTGTGTATGGGTGGTCCCGGGGATCGAACCCACTACCTTGGCGTTACAAGCGCCGTGCTCTACCAGCTGAGCTACAGAGGACCACGTTATTGTTATGGGTTGTTCTTCCGTAGGTCCCCTGGAACGTCCAGCTGAAAGACAGGACCATGGTCAAAGGCAGTGCGCTGTGTAAGGGTGCCATTTGGGTCGACCCCCCCGTAGTCAGATGTAAATGAGGTCAGGGTCAGAAAGCAGCTAGCAACATATAACTTAGAGGACTCTTCGGACTGCAGTAAAGTCCAATGGACTGGAGCTGTGAGTTGTCTGTTTACTGCAGGCTGAAGAGTCCTCTAGGTTATGTCGCTATCTGTTTACTGCAGGCTGAAGAGTCCTCTAGGTTATGTTGCTATCTGTTTACTGCAGGCTGAAGAGTCCTCTAAGTTATGTCGCTATCTGTTTACTGCAGGCTGAAGAGTCCTCTAGGTTATGTTGCTATCTGTTTACTGCAGGCTGAAGAGTCCTCTAAGTTATGTTGCTATCTGTTTACTGCAGGCTGAAGAGTCCTCTAGGTTATATGTCGCTATCTGTTTACTGCAGGCTGAAGAGTCCTCTAAGTTATGTCGCTATCTGTTTACTGCAGGCTGAAGAGTCCTCTAGGTTATGTTGCTATCTGTTTACTGCAGTCTGAAGAGTCCTCTAGGTTATGTTGCTATCTGTTTACTGCAGGCTGAAGAGTCCTCTAAGTTATACGCTATCTGTTTACTGCAGGCTGAAGAGTCCTCTAGGTTATGTCGCTATCTGTTTACTGCAGTCTGAAGAGTACCTCTAGGTTATGTTGCTTAGGCTGAAGATCCTCGTAGGTTATGTCGCTATCTGTTCAGAGCTGAAGAGTCCTCTAGGTTTTTGCTATCTGTTTACTGCAGTCTGAAGAGTCCTCTAGGTTATGTTGCTGTCTGTTTTACTGCAGGCTGAAGAGTCCTCTAGGTTATGTTGCTATCTGTTTACTGCAGGCTGAAGAGTCCTCTAGGTTATGTTGCTGTCTGTTTACTGCAGGCTGAAGAGTCCTCTAGGTTATGTTGCTATCTGTTTACTGCAGTCTGAAGAGTCCTCTAAGTTATGTCGCTATCTGTTTACTGCAGGCTGAAGAGTCCTCTAAGTTATGTTGCTGTCTGTTTACTGCAGTCTGAAGAGTCCTCTAGGTTATGTCGCTATCTGTTTACTGCAGGCTGAAGAGTCCTCTAGGTTATGTCGCTATCTGTTTACATGCAGGCTGAAGAGTCCTCTAAGTTATGTTGCTGCTGTCTGTTTACTGCAGGCTGAAGAGTCCTCTAGGTTATGTCGCTATCTGTTTACTGCAGGCTGAAGAGTCCTCTAGGTTATGTCGCTATCTGTTTACTGCAGGCTGAAGAGTCCTCTAGGTTATGTTGCTATCTGTTTACTGCAGGCTGAAGAGTCCTCTAGGTTATGTTGCTATCTGTTTACTGCAGTCTGAAGAGTCCTCTAGGTTATGTCGCTGCTATCTGTTTACTGCAGGCTGAAGAGTCCTCTAAGTTATGTTGCTGCTGTCTGTTTACTGCAGTCTGAAGAGTCCTCTAGGTTATGTCGCTATCTGTTTACTGCAGGCTGAAGAGTCCTCTAAGTTATGTTGCTGCTGTCTGTTTACTGCAGGCTGAAGAGTCCTCTAGGTTATGTTGCTATCTGTTTACTGCAGGCTGAAGAGTCCTCTAGGTTATGTCGCTGTCTGTTTACTGCAGGCTGAAGAGTCCTCTAGGTTATGTCGCTGTCTGTTTACTGCAGGCTGAAGAGTCCTCTAGGTTATGTTGCTATCTGTTTACTGCAGGCTGAAGAGTCCTCTAAGTTATGTTGCTATCTGTTTACTGCAGGCTGAAGAGTCCTCTAGGTTATGTCGCTATCTGTTTACTGCAGGCTGAAGAGTCCTCTAGGTTATGTCGCTGTCTGTTTACTGCAGTCTGAAGAGTCCTCTAGGTTATGTTGCTATCTGTTTACTGCAGGCTGAAGAGTCCTCTAGGTTATGTCGCTATCTGTTTACTGCAGGCTGAAGAGTCCTCTAGGTTATGTTGCTATCTGTTTACTGCAGTCTGAAGAGTCCTCTAGGTTATGTCGCTATCTGTTTACTGCAGGCTGAAGAGTCCTCTAAGTTATGTCGCTATCTGTTTACTGCAGGCTGAAGAGTCCTCTAGGTTATGTCGCTATCTGTTTACTGCTGTCTGAAGAGTCCTCTAGGTTATGTCGCTATCTGTTTACTGCAGGCTGAAGTGTCCTCTAGGTTATGTTGCTATCTGTTTACTGCAGGCTGAAGAGTCCTCTAAGTTATGTCGCTGTCTGTTTACTGCAGGCTGAAGAGTCCTCTAGGTTATGTCGCTATCTGTTTACTGCAGGCTGAAGAGTCCTCTAGGTTATGTCGCTATCTGTTTACTGCAGTCTGAAGAGTCCTCTAGGTTATGTCGCTATCTGTTTACTGCGGGCTGAAGAGTCCTCTAGGTTATGTTGCTATCTGTTTACTGCAGGCTGAAGAGTCCTCTAGGTTATGTTGCTATCTGTTTACTGCAGTGTGAAGAGTCCTCTAAGTTATGTCGCTATCTGTTTACTGCAGGCTGAAGAGTCCTCTAGGTTATGTCGCTATCTGTTTACTGCAGGCTGAAGAGTCCTCTAAGTTATGTCGCTATCTGTTTAGTGCAGGCTGAAGAGTCCTCTAGGTTATGTCGCTATCTGTTTACTGCAGGCTGAAGGGTCCTCTAGGTTATGTCGCTATCTGTTTACTGCAGGCTGAAGAGTCCTCTAGGTTATGTTGCTGTCTGTTTACTGCAGGCTGAAGAGTCCTCTAGGTTATGTTGCTATCTGTTTACTGCAGTCTGAAGAGTCCTCTAGGTTATGTCGCTATCTGTTTACTGCAGTCTGAAGAGTCCTCTAGGTTATGTCGCTGTCTGTTTACTGCAGGCTGAAGAGTCCTCTAAGTTATGTCGCTATCTGTTTACTGCAGGCTGAAGAGTCCTCTAGGTTATGTCGCTATCTGTTTACTGCAGGCTGAAGAGTCCTCTAAGTTATGTCGCTATCTGTTTACTGCAGGCTGAAGAGTCCTCTAGGTTATGTCGCTATCTGTTTACTGCAGTCTGAAGAGTCCTCTAAGTTATGTCGCTATCTGTTTACTGCAGGCTGAAGAGTCCTCTAGGTTATGTCGCTATCTGTTTACTGCAGGCTGAAGAGTCCTCTAGGTTATGTTGCTATCTGTTTACTGCAGGCTGAAGAGTCCTCTAGGTTATGTCGCTATCTGTTTACTGCAGGCTGAAGAGTCCTCTAGGTTATGTTGCTATCTGTTTACTGCAGGCTGAAGAGTCCTCTAAGTTATGTTGCTATCTGTTTACTGCAGTCTGAAGAGTCCTCTAAGTTATGTCGCTATCTGTTTACTGCAGGCTGAAGAGTCCTCTAGGTTATGTCGCTATCTGTTTACTGCAGGCTGAAGAGTCCTCTAGGTTATGTTGCTATCTGTTTACTGCAGGCTGAAGAGTCCTCTAGGTTATGTCGCTATCTGTTTACTGCAGGCTGAAGAGTCCTCTAGGTTATGTCGCTATCTGTTTACTGCAGGCTGAAGAGTCCTCTAGGTTATGTCGCTATCTGTTTTACTGCAGGCTGAAGAGTCCTCTAGGTTATGTCGCTATCTGTTTACTGCAGGCTGAAGAGTCCTCTAGGTTATGTTGCTGTCTGTTTACTGCAGGCTGAAGAGTCCTCTAGGTTATGTTGCTATCTGTTTACTTTAGTCTGAAGAGTCCTCTAGGTTATGTCGCCATCTGTTTACTGCAGGCTGAAGAGTCCTCTAGGTTATGTTGCCAACTGTTTACTGCAGTCTGAAGAGTCCTCTAGGTTATGTCGCTATCTGTTTACTGCAGGCTGAAGAGTCCTCTAGGTTATGTCGCTATCTGTTTACTGCAGGCTGAAGAGTCCTCTAAGTTATGTCGCTATCTGTTTACTGCAGGCTGAAGAGTCCTCTAAGTTATGTCGCTATCTGTTTACTAGAGGCTGAAGAGTCCTCTAAGTTATGTTGCTATCTGTTTTACTGCAGGCTGAAGAGTCCTCTAAGTTATGTTGCTATCTGTTTAACTGCAGGCTGAAGAGTCCTCTAAGTTATGTTGCTATCTGTTTTACTGCAGGCTGAAGAGTCCTCTAAGTTATGTTGCTATCTGTTTACTGCAGGCTGAAGAGTCCTCTAGGTTATGTCGCTATCTGTTTACTGCAGGCTGAAGAGTCCTCTAGGTTATGTCGCTATCTGTTTACTGCAGGCTGAAGAGTCCTCTAGGTTATGTCGCTATCTGTTTACTGCAGTCTGAAGAGTCCTCTAGGTTATGTCGCTGTCTGTTTACTGCAGGATGAAGAGTCCTCTAGGTTATGTCGCTGTCTGTTTACTGCAGGCTGAAGAGTCCTCTAGGTTATGTCGCTGCTATCTGTTTACTGCAGTCTGAAGAGTCCTCTAAGTTATGTCGCTATCTGTTTACTGCAGGCTGAAG